TTTGCCATTTCACTGTTTCATTTCAAGTGTAACATGGTGCGTGTTCTCTGCCCGAATATACGCCATGAATGTCGCTAGCCACGAGTCTCAGAAGCACTAAAACAACGTCCTGTTATCGTGTTCATTGAAAAACAAAACAAATCACTAACGAATTTATGAAAACAGCTCCTTTTTTAATCGATCTAAAAGTACTCTTTTAATTCGCGCACCAAAAACTAATAATTTCCGTTTTAACGCTATTAGTTCGCGCACTTGAAAAAATAATTATTTTTACTACCGCAAATTAATTAAGTTTTTATGGTATTACTGATTGTCGGCATCCGTCGTCGCCGTCGTCAACTTTACATTTTCAACTTCTTCTTAAAAACCACAAACTGTATGGCTGTGAAACTTTCTAGGAAGGTACCTTGGGTGCTTCTCTCTCAGATTTGTTCATTTTGTGTGGCTATGTTCAATTGTCTTATTTATAGCGAATATTTTTGTCATTTTTGGTCAAAAATGCTATTTTCTACTTCTTCTTGAAAACCGCTAGCCTGAATGCTTTATACTTGGTATGTAGGTACCTTGGGTGGACCCCTCTCAGATTTGTTCATTTTGTGATGATATCTTAAATTCTCTAATTTTGATTTATATTTTTATCATTTTTGGTAAAAAGTGATATTTTCGACTTCTTGTTAAAAACTGCATGTCCAATTGCTTTGATACTACATATCTAGGTACTACATGTGGTCCTCTCTCAGGTTTGTTCATTTCATGATGATATCTTTAATTTTCTAATTTTCATGAATATTTTTGTCATTTTTGGTAAAAAGTGATATTAAAAAGTGGTTAAAAACCGCAAGTCTAATTGCTTTGATATTATATATACTACATAGGTACTACAGGTAGACCTCTTTCAGATTTCTTCATTTCGTGATGATTTTGTTCTTTAATTATCTAACTTTAATGAATATTATTGATAAAAAGTCTGATTGCTTTAATACTATACATATTGTTCATTGTCTGATGAAATCTTCTGTTCTTTAATTGCAATGTGCATTGATAACAGCGGAGCTATCTCAGCCGACAGGCTGCTAGTTTAAACATGTTTACAGCAAGTCTCAAAAGTAATGGGGCAGCCAATTTGCAAACTCGCTAGCGAATTGGCTAACTGCTTGGGTTTTGACTAAACAGTTGGCTTTTGAATCTTGCTGGCGCTGACTCATGGCCGCGTCAACTCTGGTAGGTATATGTCTAGATTCCCCTGAATGATTTTCTTTGTTACGGGGTGTGATAATGTAAAAGTAGTTTCCCTGGTCAGCCTGAGAATGGCCACAGTCAGCTGGCGTAATATTAAACCGGTAAATGTGATTAATGCACCGATATTTACTATATGGGGGTAGCCGTCTTGAACATTGCTTGAAACTATGGACCTACCTTGTTGGTAGATCCATGTTGAAACTAAATAAAGAGACAAGTTGATAAACATGACAAATGACAAACTAAAACCGCTAAAAAAATCGACCTCTTTCGTCGTTTTTGTGTGGTCAATCCCTTGTATACGAAAACCTCATTACACATAGAACACTTTCCCTGGTATATTTGAAAGCAAAATGGTCATCCAACTGTGGCTGATTAGCTCCTAAAGTATGACGGCCGTCCCCTGCTGTTATATAGATTCGGCCAGAGTGGGTGTGACCACAAGACGGCGCCAGTGAGATTCGAAAGCCAACTGTTTAGTCAAAACCAAAGCAGTTAGCCCAATTCACTAGCGAATTTGCAAATTGGCTGCCCCAATACTTCTGAGACTTGCTGTAGATAATAAATATGTTTAGGTAATAAAGCATCTCTCACAGGGGACCCCAAAGTTTAATATCTTGAAATGTTTATTTAATATATTGTGAATAAGTAATACAACATCTTCATTTAGTGCAAGATTTTGTCATGGAATAAATGAATCCTATATAACTATATTTGATTGATACTCAGACATGAATTAGAAGTATCTACTTTTAAGTGTTTGCATGCCATAATTAATGTTTGTCAAACAAATTGTAGATCTTGGTTCATCCAGGGCTTGAACTATAGTATTCTAAGCATGTACAAATTCTAGGGAAATAAGATTGTTTTAGTTTGACCTTGAGAATAGAAAAAGATATATAAGTTTTTAACTTGCAAATTAACAAAGATATAACACAAGGATAAAAACAAAAGCACCTAGTTCTTTTGTTTTTAAAGTGGTAAAAAGTGGTAGTCGGCTGTTTATCTTGGATTGTGCTTAAGCAACCCATAACACTCATTGTCTTTGTAACTAATATTACTGTAAGTCGTCCATGCATACCAAAGAAAGTACATGAACACATAAGTATACATGTACACAAAACCAAGTTTTATAACTTATTTTATAATAATAAAAGATCTACTGACCATACCACTAATTTAATTAATATTCATTCATAGTTTGATACTAAAAATTGAGAACGAAAAACAGCACAATTCTGTGATCAGTCAAAATTTTGGAAGCCAATAAATAAGTAGGTGGTTTCTATAGTAGACAAACGTTTTCATAGTACACAGCTTTTGAAACACAACACAAATCAAATTGTCTACCTGTAAATTTGCTATTGCTTCAGGAAATGCATTTGTTATAGGTCAAAGCGTTAATTGACAAACTTATTTGATCTATTGTGGTGGAATATCATCTGAAATCAAAACACATTTGTATTTATTGTATACTGAATCATTTAAATATGACTTATTTTGACCATAGACTCAATAATAAGTGTACACACACAAAATACTATGGTCAGATACCATTTGTCGCATCAACGTTGTCATATGCAACTGTTTGACCTGTCAAGCCCACACTGCATGCTTCACGATTGGTTGATAACTGGTTGGTCACTGCCTTGTCAATCATCAATGTTGCGTTAATGGTGAATATTTCAACAATGTTGGTGATAGAGCGGAGAGCTATGACAGTCTCTCAGGCCTTTGACCCTTGTCAAAATGCCTACAGCATTTCACAGATGCCTATTGTGATTCATTTTTATTCTCACTGAAAAATAAAGAAATTTGGCCTGAGAGACTGTCAACAGTCTATATATATTCGCTGTCTTTATCCTTACAGATACAAAACACTTGACATGCAATAATCACACTTCAGTGCTTTTCTTGCATTTTAAGTAAATTTTTAATCTAAATAAATAGTGCACTTCTTATAAATTATACACTTTATGTGTTTGCTCTTTACCATATACATGTGTCTTCATCACTGTATTTGCTCTACAGTGTACTTGTTGATTTTAAGTACACCTACATATATAGGCTAATTTTGTTAACACGTCATTTATAAAAATTGCATGCATTTCTAATGGAGGGAAAAATTTAACTTTGCAATACCTCATTTCTATACATTATCAAAAAACAAAGTATGCTCATTCAATATGGTGCTGTGGATGCTACATTATA